GATCCTGCAAGTTGGCTGGGCTCATTTGGGTGACTCTTCTGCTCCACATGGTGTTGCCTGGGGCTGCAGTCATCTGGGGACTTGACTGGGGTGGCCCATCCAAGATGCCTCATACGCATGACTGGTGCCTTGGCAAGAATGACTGGAAGGCTTGGCTCACCTGGGTCAGTGGAAGGGTTGGGTGTCTCTTTCCATTTAAGTCCACTTTCCATCTGCTTATCAATTTATATAAACAGCATACCTCTATCCAGCATCTATTAGGTGTCAGGTACTTGCTAGGGTCACAGCAAGCCATCCAAGCAGAGGGTACATTTCCCTGGACTCTATGCTGGCCTGGCAGCCTCTCTGCTGGGCTGTGGCCTCCCAGGAGCATGCTCATGCTTGAATCACCCTCAAACCCCGTTTGGCACACAGTTTCAAGAACTATTTGCTAAATGCTTAGATGATTAAATGAATCAATGGTTGTATAAGCATTTTAAAGGCAATAAGTATACATGGCAGTATCTAAGAGGTATAATTTTTTGTAAATGAGGAAGATCCCCCAGGCTGTGTGGTGGAGGTTGGAGCATAAACAGAGAGAGTGGAGGCAGGGAGGCCAGTGAGGAGGCTGTAGTTACTGTCCAGGGTAGAGATGCAAGACCTACAGCAGGGAATGACCATGGGCTAGATAAGGGAGCATGTTTAACACATGGGGAGGCCAAATATTCCAGTCCTGGTGACCAATGAATGCTGGGGGATGGAATGGGAGGAGCCAGGGGGATCCCCAGGTTCTTTGATGCAAGAAGGAAAAAGGAGCTGAAAGGCTGTGAGACCCGGAGCCCCAAATAAAGTAGTCTCATCTGACAGTTGCTTTCCTTGTCCGCCAGGCAATGATTTCATTGCAAGGCAGTAAGTCTAATGCATCTGCACCTGATGCCCAGCCTGGGCCTGACACTGGGTGGAGGCTCGGGAGTGGTTGCTGTCAAGCGAGTGAGCATCACACATCATCAGCTCCTGCCCATGACCAGCACTTCTTCCTGTTTTGAAACCGTCTCCTCAACAACTTCCCTCAAAGTTTCTCTGTCCTATCTAAGGGCCTCTGGTCCGTAGCCACTTTGCAGAGCAGTAGCAAGTGACTCACCCAGTGACTGCTGGACACAATGATACAGAGGAAACAGCATGGGGCCAGGAGTCCTAAGATTTCAGTTACAAATGCTGTCAGCTATCAGTAACAGAGGCCTGACCAACAGTGACATAAATAAATAGGGGAGTTCATTTTTCACTTTGTCCCTAACAAAGTGGCCATTGGCATTGGTTCAGCTGCCAACCAAAGTTGTCAAGGATCTAGACTCCTTTTATCTTCCTGCTCCGCCATTCTGAGCAAGTTAGCTTGTTATCTTCATGCTTGTGGTTTCAACTTCATAAATGGCTGCTGCAGCTCCAGACACATCATCAGTATTCTTCAGGGAAGGGGGACAGGACAAAGGGCAGCATCAGCTGGGTCTATCATTTTTTATGGAAGAAAACAAAACTTTTACAGAAGCCGCCTCTCCCACTGACTAACACGTAAGTCTTGTCAGAACATGTGACTTTGGGACCCCAGCTGCAAAGCAGGCTGGGAAAACAAGTACTTGGGTCTGGGACTAGATACACAGCCAATCTGTACAAAACCAGCATGCTGATAGCAAGGAGGATGGAGTAGTGGCAGAGGGTGGAAAAGTACTGTCTGCCTTCGTGAGGTGAACTCAAACACCTGTCTCCTCCTGTGCCCCTATTTCCTTCCCTGCCAAATGAACTGCAGGTCCCTGCACTGGGAGGCTACTAGGAGCCTTAAATGAGATAATATGTGAGACCACACAACAGTGAGAGAGTTGATCTACTGTTATTATTGGTATAAAGCAAGGACTGTGTCCACTGAGCAAGAGACACTTGACAGAGGCCCCCAGCCCACTCTTGGCATGAAGGGAAGTTCAAGGAGATGAGGAAACTATTCGAGGTCTAGAGCGGCGGCGAGGCAGAGGGCTTGGTGAGAGACGCATGAGGGTGGCTTTGAGGAAATGAGGGTCCAGTCTGATGGTGGAGGTGTGAGTATAGGAGGAGAGAGGGAGACAGAATGTGGGCAGGCGTCTTGAGCCACTGGAAGGGGTCCCAAATTTATCCCAAGGCCTAGTAAGAGCAGGAGACAGAAAGCCTCCCCTCAGACTCTGGTGGACTGGAGGGAACACCTCAGGGCTTTGCAGCACCGAGTGTATTAGGGTGTGGGGTCTGCCCCACCCCCATCTGTGATTGTGTCATGCATGTTTGGGTTTTAATAGGAGGGGGTTGTTTTAGAGGGGAAGTAACTTTAAAAATATAATGGCCTGTCTGAGCTGAAACTAAAAATGCCATGGGGCTTTGCCCCTGGACCCAGGGTCTTTCAAGAGAGTGGAGACCTGGGAAGCCAGTGAGCTGGAAGGTCCTGCCATGGGACTTCAGGACTCCTGGGAGGCTGGGAGATCTGGATGAGCAGAAAATGGAAACCCCAAGCATTTCCTTGGCTGGGAACTGGGGGACTTCTGTGTTGCCGGGGATGGAGTCTTGTATCTCTTTCTTTATTCCTTAATTTCAGCCTCTCTAAGGTGTCAGCCCTCCAAGGGCAGGAACTCCTGTGCACCACTGCAGTCCCACTCCTAGAACAGTGCTTGGTACAAAGTAGGCACTCAGTAAATACATGTTGGATGAATGGATGAAGTTTAGATAGAGAAGAGTGATGGCTCCTAGGAGCGGAAAGACTGGCATTTGTGAATTAGCAAACATCAAGGTGGGGCTGACTCCACAGCAAGGACGGGTGTTCTTCATGGATGAATTCCTGAAGCCCTCACAACAGTGCCATCTCTCTTGTAAAGACACTTGCCTTTGCTTCATGCTTGCTGGGATACTTCCCTGTGATCTCCAGTAGCAGAGGTGGGGGTTTCTGGCTGCCTAACATCCATATCCCCAAATTCCAGCAATGCTCTCAGTCTCCATTTGGGAACAGCCCCTCAACCCTAGTGTGCCTGGTTTTGATGGGATTGCCTCCACTCCCAGTCTAGCAAGGCATGTGGTCCAGGCCTAGCCAGTCAGAGCACAGCATCCACCTGACAAGTATGATTGGTTGAAGGGGGAGGGCCTAAGACCTAACTGGTCCAATCAGAGTAAACCTTAATTAGAACTTTGCCCAGGCAGACACTTGCCCTTCTGCTAAACTTGAACCTAGAAAAATGAAGCCCTGAGAGTCACCTCCAGAGAATAAACCAAACAGCAAAAGACAGAGCAAAGAGGTACAGGAAAGTAAGCCCTGATTATATAATTTGAGCCTCCTTGATCAAGCTACACCTGAAGTCGTAATATTTCCAAACTTGAATCAATAAATTTATTTTCTCTTTAAGCAGGTTGAATTGGGTTTTCTATTTGCAATAGCCAAAGTTCTGACTGGTAGGGTCTGAAAGCTTTAAGACTCTCATGGGCAAATGCAGCTCAGGATCCTGTGAGTGGAACAGAAAGACTTAAGAGATGGCAGGATTCAGCATGATGCAGGTTTTTGATTGACTGATACCAGGAAGCCAGTGAGCTGGAGGGTCCTGCCTCAGAACTTCAGGACTTCTGGGGGCAGAGAGGATAACTGGGAGCTCTTGAAGAGTAGAAAGTAGAAACCCAAAGCATTTTGTTGTCTGGGAATTAGGGGACTCCTGTATTGTCAGGGACATTTAGGGAATTTGATCTGTTTTATCTTGTCCCCAAAAGGAGAATGAAGACAAGAGAAGCAAACTTCTGAGACACTCATTTTAGCTAATACAAGGAGGCTGTCTGACAAGCAGGGCCATCGGTATTGCAGGAGCCTGCAGCAGGAGGGAGCATGACCCATCCCTGGAAGAATACGAGGGGTGGGCCGCAGCCATCTGGCCTGAAACGTTCAGAGGGGATGCAGGCGTTGGGTGGGCTGGACTACACGGGTAGAGGCTGCCATATGTGGCAGCTGGCACTGACCACAGTAATGCAGGGGTGGCTTATTGGGTCCTGGGGCTCCCCTCTGGCTCCTGGGAAGGCAGGAACATGAGGGGGTTGGGATGCAGCACCTGCAACTTCACACCCTTCAGGCCCCAGAGGACGTCCAGCACAGAGAAGATGGTCGACCAAGCTCTGCAGCCATCTGCTAAGAAACGCCACAGGAAGGGGACAGCGTGGCCAGCCAGGATACCACTGGGCTTTGGGTGGGGGCCCTGGGCGGTCAGACCATCTGACTGAGTGGGCTGGATGCCACCTGGAAGGGAGACAAGCCAGCGGTGAGAATCTGGGGACAAGCAGAATGTACGGCTCGCTGGCGGCTTTCCTGGCTCATGGCTCCTTCCCCCCTCCCGGCTTTGGCCCCAGGTTGGCCCTCCCACCAGGGCTGCCCTCCCTGCTCTGCTGCCACACCAAGTCCCTCTGTCCTTGTCTCACCTCTCCAGGAAGCCCTGCAGGCTGCCTCCAACCCACACAGATCCCTCTTCTGCCCCAGGTGCCCCGGCCCAGTCTGCCCTGCCCCCACCCCTGCATGTGCGTGTTAGGGGTGGGCCTTCCTAGGGGACTGGGGCCAAGGCATCTTTCCATCCGGTCCTCCCCACCCTCTTGCAGGGATGGCAGAATGGGAGCTCAGGGACACCCACCCCCTAACTCAGGCCACCTGGTGTTTTCTGATATCTTGGACCTTCTCTCTAGGAACTGGGCTCCACCGAGCTGGACTGGCTCAGGCAGAAAGGGGAGCTGAGGCCACTTTGATAGTCCCTGTATGGTCCTGGCCTCCGTGCTGCTCCCAGTGGAGCCCAAGGCCCCACCGCACCATGTGTGTGGTGGGAGAGGCTGTGCAGAAGGGCCAGGCTCTCACCCCTAGAGGAGGATGCAGGGGCGCTTCTGCGGCCGCGTGGGCTGGGGGCACAGGACGGCCCGGATCGCCTCATCAAAGACGGTTTTCAGGCCTCGCTGGGTGAGCGCTGAACACTCCAGGTATTTCACCGAATCTAGGGCAAGGCACAAGAGAAAAGAGGTCTACGTCAGGGGAGGGCCCTGGGCAGAAACCCCTCCCAAGCCAAACAACAGTGCTAGGCTGTGGGGGCCACCTGAGCTGTGTCACTCAGAGCAGGGTATTTACCTCTCTGGGCCTAAGTTTCCACATGCACAAAATAGAGAGCTTGAATTCAAAGGAGAGGTGAAGACCCACTAGTGTGGTCTGTGTCTTAGACACATAAGCCCTTCATTTGCAGAAGGCAGGCAGGATTTTTGATACTTTCCTGGAAGAAAGGGCTCACGCTAGAGTGACTGAATCTGGGCCTCAGTTTCTTCTAAAAAGTAACCACACCCCTGCCTCCAGGCTTCCTCCAGGAGGCTGACACACTTCTGGCCCATTCTTCAGGACCTTTCAGTGTCACCTGACTGTTCCTTAGCAGCACCCCACCTTACAGATGAGGAAACTGGGGCTCCTAGAGGCAAAGTCACTTCGTCCAAAGTCACATGCTGGGTGTTTCTCCTCCACGGAGGGGCAGCTGGGGCCCCCCCGAGAGAGAGCCGGGAATTGGAGAGCTCCTCCTTCTCCCCTGAGGGGACGGCCTTCTCCCTGTGCTGGAGCCCAGGGCACAGACAGCAAGAAAGGCCTGGGGGTGCAGGCAATGGTTCCAGGGCTCGGCTGGCCAGAACAAGACCCTGAGTTTGGTCCAAGAGTCTCATCACCGAAACCCTCTGTGCCTAGAAGGGTGTCACTGGGCATCTGACCATCGCCTCCCTGCCAGGGACCATAGCCAGAGTTCACTTCTTCCACAGCCACCAGCTGCCTCCTTCCTGGCACCCGTGCCCTCTTGCTTTTCTTAGCTCAGTGGTGTCCAGAGCAAGGGTCCTGAGCTGGGGGCCTGGGTTCCCCTCAGCTCCACCCCTGATCTCCCCTAGGCCACTGGCCAGCCCCCTCTCTGAGCCTCAGTCTGCCATCTGTCCAGAGCAGGCTGACATGTGATGGATGGTCACGCGGAGCCAGGGGTGGGAGAAGAGCTGCAGAGAGGGGCGGAGGCAGGCCAGAGGGCAGCAGACGCCCCCAATCTTCATGACTGAGGGAGCCAGGCAGCCCAGGCTCGAATCTGAACTCAGCCGTATCCTGCCTGGGTGGCCTTGGGTCAGTGACTTTTCCTCCCTGAGCTGAGCCTCGGTTTCCTCGTCTGTAAAGTGGAGGTGATGAGAGCCCCTCCTTTGTAGTTGCTGTGAGAACAAAGTGGGGATATGCACAGGCCCAACACCCAGAAAGGGCTCAGTCCACGTCCGCTGTGATTACCAGCAGGGCTAGAGCTGCCCCCACACCCCGGCGATCGCCCAGGCCGGTGGGCGGAGGCAGCTGCCATCCTCTTCATCAGCCGCCCAGGCCCCCCAGGCCCCGCAGGCCTCCCCTTGGGCCTGGGCTGGTCTGAAGCAAGGTCAAAGGGCAGCCCTGCCCTTCCCCCACGTGGGATGGCCCCAGGAGGGACTGCCTAGAGGTTGAGGCCCAGAGAAGGGGAGCCACAGCAGGAGGTCACACAGCCAGTGCCGAGCCAGGACCTGAATCCAGGCTTCCGGGCCCCTTCTGGGTGTCCCAAAGCGCATGCCTTAAAAGGGAAAGGGAAAGAAGGAGGCTGAACAGTCCGTCTTGGGCGGAAGGAGTCCAGGGGACAGACTGGTCTGAAAGCAGAGAAGGCAGGGGTGTCATCCCTGGTACTTGTGAAGAAAGGCCAGTGGCCTGGGAGCCAGAGCCCCCAGGACGGGGCATAGGGCCGGGGTTTACAAGCCGGCCTGAGGACCCCGGGGAAGATGGCCATGTCACTGGGCCAGTTGTGGAAGCCGGAGGTGGTGGCTGCGGTTTCTCTTCCTGTGCAGAGATGTGAGTCCCCAGGGCCCTCCCAGTTCCGGCGGAAGGAAGAGGGGTAGGGCTGGGGCAGGGAGGGGGTGGGGCAGCTCCACCTTCGGAGGCCAGCCCCTGGGCCCACGGACCCTGTGAGGTACAGCCCTGAGCCACTGGGTCACTGCTCATGGTGACCAAACCTGGCTGCTGGTCCTGGGCAAGCAGGCGAGCGCCCCATCCCGGGGCTGCAGGCAGGGTGCGACGACCAGGGACAGCAGGCCACAGCACCATGAAGAGGCCAAACCCATCAGTCACCACCTCCCTGGGGCAGGCAGCCCTGAGCCACCTCGAGGAGACCCCCACCCAGTCTGCTGTCTGTGTCCCAGTCCCAGTTCTGCCACCTCCTAGCCACCTCGAGAAGTCACTTTGCTTCTCTGGCCCAGTGATCAGGAGGCACAGGGGAGTTGGGCTGAGAAGCTAGCAGGTGAGGAAAGGGAGGCAAGAAGGGGGAGGAAGGGAAGTCACCCCTCAAACCCAGTACAGAAGCACCGCCTCCAGGAAGCCTTCCCAGAAAAACCAAGCTCATCGTCAGAGCAACCACAGCACACCTCACTCCACCCCAGCTCCTGTCTGCTCAAAACACACTTATTTCCGTATCTACTCACGGATTTTACCACTACTACTAACACGAATGCAGAGTGTCTCCTGTGTATGGGGCGGCCCTAGGAGCTTCACGGGTGATAATGCGCTTAGTCCTCCCCACAGGCACAAAGACTCACGCAGGGTCGCACCGCTGTACCTGGCACAGCTGTGGTGTGACCCACACAGCCTGGCCCTGGAACCCATGTTTGCAATCCCCATGAGACTGAGTGGGGACCCCCAACTCTGCCAGCTCCCCCCTCAGCCAGAGCCCTGTACCGATCTCCTTGGCCAGTGCCAGGCCCTGCGGGTAGGTAATAGGCGCCAGCTTCTTTTCCTTCAGCCTCTCGATAGTGTCCTTGTCATCTCGCAGGTCAAGCTTGGTGCCCACCAGGATGATGGGAGTGCTCGGGCAGTGGTGCCGCACCTCAGGGAACCACTGGGCAGGTGGGCGGGGCCAGAGGGCGTGCAGGGGAGTGGGGAGCAGGGGGGCAGCAAATGCAACAAGACATGAGGGTGTGAGAAGAAGAGACGTGAGGTTTTGCAGGAAGAGAGGAGGCAAGATTTTGTGCAGAGATAAGAGGTGAGCAGAGGTTACGTGGTATAAGCAGAGGCATGAGTTTCATGGGAGGAGAGGGAACAAGGTTAGGGCGCAAATAAGTGAACTTTCCCGGCCCCCTCTGAGGCCCCACCCAAGTCTCAGCCCTGAGTGCCCTGGCCCTGGCCTGCCCTGGGGGCCTTCTCCGCCCACACCCTCTGCGGCCCCCGGGGCAGGCCTAGAGTTGCCCTCTCTCCCTGCCCAGGGTCATCTACCCTGGACTCCCAGGGTCCCACTGAGTCCAGCTCACCTTGGCGCGGACATTCTCATAGGAGGCCGGGCTGACGAGGGAGAAGCAGATGAGGAAGACGTCCTGGGGACAGAGTAGGTAGGCTCACCCACCAGGAGAGGCAGGACCCCACTCCTGGGCAGCATCTACGGGGCGCATCCTGGGCTCCCTGAGTGGTGGAGCGGCCCAGGGCACGCTGGCGGCTTAGGATCTGCCAGAGCAGGAGGCGGCCTCTACCACCAAGCTGCCCTTTGTTTATCCAGCACTCCCTAAAGGCCGGGGCCTGTTCTGAGAGCTGAGTCCCCACAGCCTTCAGTAAGTGCTGCTACAACCCCCATTCCGCAGAGGGGGAGAGTGAGGCTGACAGTTAAAGGGCCTGCAGCTGGAGCCCCAGAACGCATACCTCTCTCAGGGTACTCACCACCCCACCGTCTGCTTGCCAGCTCCAGCCCCTTCCTTGCCACTCTGGAGGGAGAGGCTGTGGGGTCCTAGCAGCCACAGAGCCCCCTGTAGGCTTGTCCCCTACCCCAGAGCCCCAAGGCTCAGAGTCCTGGGCTCCCCACTGGGGTCCTGTCCAAGGCCTGCCTGCCCCTCCCCAGGGGCACCCGGTGGTGTCAGAGCCTATAAGGAGGAGGGGCAGGCCAGGCAGGTGCCATGAGAGTGATGGAAGGGCACAGGGCCGGTGGGGTGTCCTTGCGTGCCAGGGGCCCAGAGGGTCAGGGTTCCCAGGCCCAGCTGGCCCAGGGGGAGCCCAGGCAGAGGGAGCAGGGAGAGCAGAAGCCCAGCCGAGAGGAGGGCTGGGGGCAGCGCACCGTCTGTGGGTAGGAGAGCGGCCGCAGGCGGTCATAGTCCTCCTGTCCTGCAGTGTCCCACAGCCCCAGGTTCACCGGCTTGCTGTCCACCATCACATTGGCTGAATAGTTGTCAAACCTGTGTGAAGCAGGCAAGACAGAAGGGTCAGTCTCCATCCCCAGAGCCCAGGGCCCTCCTGTCCAGCCCTGAGTTACCAGTGGCAGAGGCCAGGACCCAGAGAGGGGCTGTGGAGGGACCAGAGCCACACAGCACTGTGCACCTGACTTTTCATTTACTTCGTTACTGATTCATTACATTGAAAAAATTAATGCAGTTAATAATAAAGAGGAAAACATTGTTTCAATCATTTTCCTGCCCTTACCTACCCTCTGGAGAGGTAGTTTTTAGAGGCTGCATAGCAACCCCTCCAAGGCTTGATCACAATAAACTTTACCCACCTCCCATGCTGTACACGGAGGTCGGTCACCCAGTGTTTGTTGAATGAATGCCCAACCTAAGAGCAAAGCTGAGACAAGAAGGGAGCACCAGAGGCTTATTTAGGAAGTGACCCCGGTGGCCAAGGGATGGGGGTGGGGAAGAGATGAGGAAGGGCCAGCAGCCAGTAGAGAATGCGCTACAGGGTTGTGGGCATCGGGGGAAGGCCTGGAGCGCTCCTGCGCATCCCCCGGCGGGGCTGGGAGCCGGGCTGTTGCCCACCATCTCCATCTCCCACTGGCAGATGGAGGGTTAACTCGCTGCTCTTCCAGCACACGCCAGAGCTGCCCTGGAAGCTGTCCATCACATAGCCCTTGGGAAAGGCCCCCGCACACGGGGCAGAGACCCTGGTTGGAGGGCTGGGGTGAGCACCGACAGCCACTGCTGAGGGCCCTGCCAGCACTGGAGGGGCTTCCAGGGCCACCCAACAAACGTCCAGAGTTTGAAAAACTTCAACCCAACAATATTTCCTATTGCACACCCCCCTGAGAGGAAGGTGCTGGTTGCTCATGCTGTGAGAAGGAAAACTGGGATCAGAGAGGTGCCGTGACCTGCCCAAGGCCAAGTGTGGCGACACGGCCCGTGGCCAGACCCAGTGAGAAGCCAGTTCCATCTGACTGGGCAGCCAGCTCACTGCCCTGGGCCCCAGCTCTGCTTCCTCAGATGCCCTCCCCCACCGCCTCTAAAGGATGGGGACCACAACCTTGTCTCTCCTCACTGAGGTCACCCACACAGGTCCTGCTCCTTGTCCCCTTGACCTGGCCCACTGAGACCTCAGGCTCTTCCAGCTTCTCTGCTTTGTCCTTCCCTCACATACCAGCCAAACTGTTTCCTGGGCAAGGCTCACACTGCCTGGCTCACTGCGCTTGCTCAGGCTATGTCCCCTCCCCGAATGCCCTTCCCCACCTCTCCTTGTCCAGATATTCCCACCTGCCCTGACCATGGCCTGCTCATACTCTGGGCTGTTGCTGCCATCTGTGCCTCTCTCTGGAGTACCCTTCTATCCCCTTTCACCCTGGACTCCTAGTCATGCTTCAAAACACTGCCCAGGCAGTCCTGCTCTGTGGAAAAACCTCCAGGCCACCTCCTTCCCTGGCCCGGCCTGGAAAGAGGTCATTATTCCCTCCCTCAGGCAACCTCTTTGCCTTGACCTTGAACAGGGAGTTAGTGTGTCTCTGTCCTGCCATGGGCTGTGGGCTCCACGTGGGCAGGGCCCATGTCCACTTTCCCTCTGCAGTCTCAGGCCTGGCACCCGGTGAGTGCAAGTGGAACAGCATTAAACCAAACTTAACTGAAGCCCTTGGGATGCCACCTTCTCCGTGAAGCCCTCAGAGAATGCTGCTCAGTGACAGGCTGCAGAAGCCCTAATGCTTCAGAGAAACTCCAAAGATACCAGTCCTGAGAAAGACACTGCCCCCCAAAACCGGCAGCCTGACTTAATTAGCACACTGCCTGTTCAGCCCTGGAGTGTTCCTGGTCGCCTCTCAGTTCCTCAGATGGCCCTGCTCTCCTGCCTGGAAAGTTCCTGCAAACTGCACCCCCCCTGACTTCCCACTCTTCCCTACTCAGCCTCCCGGAGCCAGCTGACTCTTACTCACCCGCTCCAGCTCCATCTCAAGGTCACTTCTTCCAGGAAGCCTTTCCTGACCTCCAGCCAGGACCCCAACCCAGTAATCTTTGGGGAACTTAGCACCCCAAAAAGCAGGCACCAGGCCTGGCTTATTTCTCACTGCACCCTGAGGCCAACACAGTGTTCCCACATACTAGGTGCTCTGTGGACCTACTCTAGATACCAGCCATACTGCCATGGGATTTCAGGAAGACGGCACTGTCCAGACACCACTGGGCATGATGGGAAAGAAGCACCTGTATTGTCTTTGGCTTCAGCCAGAAACACTCCTTCGGTACACTCTTAGGGTATAGGGGTACTCTCTCCTCTAGTGTCCAGTCTGAAGTTCTGGTGCCAAAAAAACTCCCAAGATTCCTTGAGCTAAAGGCTTCTGTCTTCTCTGAGCCACCCCTAGGGTCTCAGGGGCCATGGCAATGGGGAAGTGCTGGATCCTGGGACCTGTAGCTGCAGCAGGCAGCTGCTCGGGGGCTGAGCAGCGGGCTGGAGGCCTTCATAGCTAGATCATGAAGTCCCATGTGACCCAAGGCAAAAGGACCTCAATTCACTCCCATTAGACAGATGAGGAAACTGAGGCCCCAAGATGTCAAGAAAGTTCTCCAAGTCCAGCCATCTCATAAGCACGGACTAGAACTGGAGCCCTTCTCCCTCTGTGACACCCATTAGTGAGCAAGTGAGTCGACAAATGAGGCACAGGAAGGCTGATTCATCCAGGACAGCCACCCCAGGACAGCCCCCAGGATTGGGAGGGAACACAGACTTCTTTGTGAAGCCTCATGCTGGCTGTGTGAGCCTGGGGGAGTAACCTGACTTCTCTGAGCCTCACTTTCTTCACTGTGAGAAATGCCTTATTTCTTGGAGCCGTTAGAGGATCAAGCCACGCGAGGGTGAGATGCTGGGAAGCTGAGCAATCTCATTTTTGATGTCCTCACACACACACTCCCCCTCGACTGGTCTCTCCCCAGAGGACCACCTGCCAGAGCCTGATCATTGCAGGGCTGCATCAATGGCTGCACCTCCCCCGTGTCCCCCTTGCTTCAGAAACCCACAGGCAGCCAGGACCAGAGCACCCTTACACCACCATGGCAGCCAACCCTCACTCTCATTTTCCAGATGAGGAAACTGAGGCTCCCAGACAGGAAGGGACTTGTCCAAGATGTCACAGTCAGTGGTGGCACAGCCTGGGCTGGATCCTGCTACCTAATTCAGAAACTGCCATGTGGCAAGCATCACTGCTATTTCATGGCTGGAGACTCAGTGGAGTTTGGGCCGGGGCGTGGGGGCTGCCCCTGAGCTGTGGGGAGGGCAGGGGGCTCCCGTTTGTCGAGCATCCAGGGGTAGCCAGCGCTCTTGCAGGCCCTTCATACTTAGGTCATTTCGGTGGGTCCCGGAAGTGGATTCTACCAGTTACACACGAGGAAACTGGCACCCAGAGACTGGGGTGGCCTGCCCGAGGTCACACTGCTGGGGTGTTTTCACCCAGAGTCTGTGGAGGCCCTTTCTGCATTCTGCAGGCCCAGCCCTGACCCTACGTTGGAGTGGACGAGGGGCATGGAGGTAGGTGACAGCGGGCTCAGCACCCAGGCACCACCTGACCCCACCTAAGCCCACCCCTCTGAAAGGAAGATGGACATGCAAAGAACCCAGAGACCCTAGTGTGGGCGCACCTGGTGACCTGGGGGCCAGGGAGCATTGAGCAGGTCAGGCGGGGCAGGGGTCACTGTTAGGATTCAGGTCTTGGTCCCTAGAGCCACGGAGGGGCTTCACCAAGCAGGAGGTGAGGTGATCAGAGGTGCATCTAGAAAAGGTTCCTCTGGGCCACTGCATAGAGGAGCCTTAGACGAGGGTCAGAGGGAAGCTGGGGGGCTGAGGGGTGCAGTGAGCAGCAGTGGGAGGAGCTTACAGAGCAGGCAGGAGAGGGGAGGAGGACTGGAGGAGATGGGGAGAGGCGGGGAGGTGTCCCAGGCCGGGCCAAGGCGGGGAGGTTCTAACCAGCAGCCACAGGGAGGGAATGACATGCCTGGAGGCCGGAAAGCCCGGCAGGGTCCCTTGTGGGTTCCAGACAGGAGGGCTGGATGTTACCCTATCTATGGGAACTCCACACTTGATTTGCCAGCTCACAAATGAAGGTAAAAATAGAGTACTGGCTGATCCGATCTAACTTAGCTGTGTTCGTCCTTCCCAGGTAGAGGCCCCAACTGGTGGCCGAATGCCAGCACCTTCTCAGGGCAGCCTGGAGCTGCCCACCTGCCCGCCAGAGTAGTCCAGTCACTACGGAGCACCAGCGATGGGCTTGGCTCTATTGTAAAAGCTGGTAAGACAACAGAGAGCTAGGCTCACAGAGCTCCCACCCCAGCAGGGAAGGCAGACTGGGAAGGGCTGGGAAGGACATCATGCAGGGTAGTGGGGGTGGAGGGGTCTTGAGGGGAAGCAGGGGTCAGGAAGGTGCTACCTCAGCAGGGAACTGAATGATGGGAAGGGGATGTGCAGAGGCTGGGATGTCTGGGATCTGCAGGGAAGCCTGGGAGTCGGGCAGACCAGGTGAGGGGTGCACGGGAGGGGAGGGGGCTGCGGGGAGGTCCTCCTTCAGGGATTTACATGCCAGAATAAGAGATGGGTTGTAAGTGTGAAGAGGAGCTGTGGGAGGGATTTAGGCCAGGGTATGACTCCATCTAATTTTCACTTTTGAAAGCCCACCTGGGCTTCCATTTGAGACTAGTTATAAGGAGGAGAAACAGAAGACAGAGACCCCCCTCCATCACAGACACACAAGAGCAGGGTCTTCCTGCCAGGTCGTTGTATCCTACCACCCAGCCCAGGCCCAGCCACAGAGCAGGCCGCAGTCTCCCCATCTGTGAAACTGGACCCTGAGCTGCTAACCCCCCCGCTCTGAGAAGCAAGCTGAGCTCAGCTCTCCCGGAGCTTATCTGATCCTGTGTCAGCAGCACGGGCCTCCCAGCCCCCAGCAAACCCACCTTCCCCAGCCCAGATGCTCTCCAGACCTTCTCTCTGTGCCAGGGATGTCGGGCTGCCTGCTCGTCTCCCTGCCCACACCCTCCACTGGCGAGGGCTCAGTGTAACTTGAGCCTGTCACAGGGGTGCAGGCAATGCAGCAGAAGCCCCTCTGGGGGCTTGTCCAGAGCTGAGCAACTCTGTATTGGAAGACCAAGAAGGGTGCCAGGCAGGACCAGCCATATACTCTGCAGGGTCCGGGGCAAAAGGAAAATGCAAGGTCCTTTGTTTAAAAATTCACAGTCTCAATTGTAATATAAATTTGTCATGGGGATGAAAGTACAGCATAAAGAATATGGTCAATAATACTATATCTTTCTATGTTGAAAGATAGTAACTACACTAACTGGCATTAATAAGGTAGATAACTATCAAATCACTACATTGTATACTTGAAACCAATATAATATTGTATCAACTGTACTTCAATTTAAAAAAAAAAAAACAATTTTAAGACAGGAATCATAAAGCATTAAGCCCAGTGCAGGACCTTTCTAAGCTTGGGGTCTCAGTGTGACTTCATAGATGGCACCCCCATGAAGCAGGCCCTAGTCTCTGACCCTACTCAGAGTCCTAGGGACCTTATCTGGTCCATTCTGTCTGTCCTTCTGCAAGGTTGTCCAGTGCCCTGAGTCCTGCAGGGACCAGCGGGGCCAGAGGCCTCCAAGTGCTGAGAGCACTAGCCCTTCTGGCCTCTCCTAGTCCTGCCATCTTGCACCAGAAATCACATCTTCCATCTCTCATAGGGGAGGCACCCTGGGCAATGAGTTTGGGCTCTTCCTCCCAGCCTCCTCTTCTTCTAGAAAGGGAAACTGAGGCTCAGAGAATGGAAGTGATTGGTCTGAGGTCCTTTAATAAGTGAGCCCTCCAGCCCAGCTGGGACAGGCAGAGGCAGGAATAGAGGCAGTGCCAGCACATCCCTGCAGACAATGGCCTTCTGCAAGAGCTACCTTACCTCATCTTGTGCCAGCCTCCCTGTTCAGGTCTGCAGCCAGCCCCCACCCCGCACTAGAAGGTGCCTGATGACTGGGCAGACAGAGGCAGTGCAGGGAGTGGCATGCACTAGCACCTGGCCACATGGGGTCATGGAACTGAGCTGGGGCAGAAGAAAAGTTTTCCAGGCTCCCTACTCAGATTTCTCTGTCCTGTCCTGGCTGCCTGCCTTCCTCCTGCCCGGGGTACCTGAGGTAACTGGTCAGTGTCCCTAGGAGAAATAGCAGCAGGAGCCCAGCCCACCCAGTGACCCTAGAGGTTGACCCTTAGCTGTGTTCAGCCCACCTAGTGACCCTTAGCTGCTGTGAGTCTCAGCTTCCCCGCTGGGTGTCCTGGGTATAATACCCATCTGTCTCAAGAAGTACATGGGGTCACACATGTGACATTTCATGCAAGGGCCAGCACACAGTAGGCCCTCAATAAATGGTAGGTAGCTACAATCCATCTTCCTAGAGCCTCTCAGTGAAGTTCAACTCCAGTCAATTCGAAACATATCTATTGTGCACCAGACGCTGTGTAGATTACACTGTGTATAAGCCACTGTGCTTAGACAGGAAGGTGACCTGGAAAGAAGTGGGCTGGCTCCCTGCACTGCAGAGGTTCATGGTTACAGGGAAGCTCAGATAAAGTCACTGGGGAGTGAGAGAGCCCTGTAGGCTGGTTCAGGAGGGCTTCCTGAGGAGGGGGCACTGGAGCCAGCCTGGACGGAGGGAACAGTTTGCACAAAGGCCCTGAGGGGGACATGCCCAGGCATTTGGTGGGCAGCAGGGATGGACACAGACAGAGCATGAAGCAGAGTGAGGGGCCGTGAGCTGGAAGGGGGCATTGAGAGAAGCTCCCATGGAGCCTTGCATACAGAGCTTCCGGGCTGGGAAGTTGTCCTGTGAGTAAGGGGCCGCTGAGGGCCGGGTGGCTGCCTCCGCACGTCTCCCCTCCGGGTGGGCTGCTCACATACTCCTACAGGCACTCACTGACAGTCCTCCCTCCACATCCAACAGGAGAACGGGGGCCCCGGAGGCCTCCAGGTGGCACTGCCCTGCCCCACCACACGGGGTCCTAGGTGTCTCCTCCCCCTCCCCCCACCCAGCCCCACTTCCCACCTCCTGCGGAGGCCCAGCCTAAAGGCCACCTGCTCCCCTCCGGCGCCAGTGCACCCTGACGCCCTCTCTCTCTGCCCTGGGAGCCCACACCACTTGCGCTCAGAGCTCATCTGGGCATTGGCTGCTGTCCCCCAACCAGGTCAGCAAACAGCTCTACCAGGCGGAGACTCCCAAGGCCCAGCATGCCCAGTGCGCAGGAAGGGCCTGCAAAGGGGGTGGGCTTCACCACGCGGTCTCCCCATTGCCAAGCACTCACACGGTGGGGATGTACTCTCCCGGGAATGCGTTGGTGGTGTAGCTGATGAGAAGGCAGGTCTTGCCCACGGCTCTGCAAGACAGGAAGTGAGAGAGGGTAGCGGTCATGGACCCTGCCCGAGACACAGGGAGGTCCCCAAGCACCTGTCGTCCTCTAGCTCAGCCCTCAGGGAAGACCCAGGCCCACACCTCTCGGCCTCAGTTTCCCATGTCAGTGTTCTCAAACCTGAGAGTCGTTAAGAGTCATCTGGGGTGTTTATTAAAGGACAGACTTTGGGGTCCTACCCTGAGACTTTGATCTATGGATGTGGGTGGGGTAGAACTGGGAATCTGTATTTTTAACAAGCTTTCCCAGGAGACACTGATGTGAGACAGAGGGTTAAGGCAAGGGGTGCCCAGGAGACTCCCTGAAACAGACAAGGCCCCAGGGCACCTGACCAGGGCTCTGCTACCACACACCCGGGCTTCAGATCCCAGCTCCACCACCTACCAGTGGTACAACCTTGGGCCCCCTATGCCTCAGTTCCCCCATCTAGAAAATAGGAATGAGCCCATCCTCATAGGCAGAAGTTAACTAGATGAAGCCCGAAAAAGAACCTAGCACAGCGCCCAGTGTAGCAGAGCAGCCGGTAAACATTAGGGAAGCTGCCCCCCAGCCCACCCTCCCACCTCACCAGGAGCCCAGCAGTTAGGAGCACTGCGCTCTGGAGTCCAAGAGAACTCAACTGCTCCGAGCTTCGGTTTTCCCATCTATGAAATGGGCCCCATATTTGGGTTGGTGGGAGGATAAAATAGAAGGGATGTGGCAAAGGCCAGGGCCCAGTTAGTGCCCAAGTAGAGTGATGGCCATGCACCGTCTTCCCCCTTAGTCTGGTGGGCTGGGTGGGAGATGCGGGGAACACAGCAGGAAGCTGAGAGGACAAAGGGGCAGCTCTGGGCCTTCCCCTGCTCCCCTCAGCTTATCCACTTCCTGTTCTGAGGAGGCTGGGTGCCCTCTCCTCCCCGCTGCTGCCCTCCCTGGGGCCTGCCTCCAAGGTGGCTTTGAATGACTGGGAAGCCGCCCTCGGCTTCTGCCCTCCCCTCCTCAGATCAGACGCAAAGCAGAAGTGCACAGGCCTGGCAGGCAGGTGGGCAGATAAGGGCTGTACACTGGAATCAGCTGGGAGTTGCCCAGTGAACCGGCCTTCAAGGCCCAGCAGAGCCCCATCCAGGAAAGGTCTGACTCTCTCCAGGCCTCGGGTTGCCCCTCTATAGAATAGGAGAGTTGGACTCTGCCCAGCTAGAACACACTGGGGTATCTGGGCTGGACTCACAGAGAACCCCAGGATGTTCCTGGGGACTGAGCCCTAAGACATTGCTGCTGGCAGGCACGAAGACTGACATACTGGCCCTGTCATTTTACAGATGAGGAAACCGAGGCCCACAGGTGCCATGGCAATCTGAAGTCGCTGAGATCGGACAGCTGAGAAGGCCCCACAGCCCAGCCTGCCCCCCCAGTAAAGCCAAGATCACCTGCCCTCCCCAGCAGTGTCTCTCAGGCGTCCTCCCCACTTCTGCTCCTCATCCGCATCCCCACACATACCCTCCCCAACCAGAAGGGGTGGAGGTGAGGGGAGCAGGGGACTACGAGAGGGGCTAGGAGGCTAACATTTATTGAGCACACACTACATGTAGGACAACCACTCAAAATATGTCAGGTGACCCCACATCAACCCTGAGGGTGTGGCCCCTTTCCAGATGGCCAAGCTGAGGTTCAGAGAGGCTCTGCGACTTGCCCAAACACACACAGCTGCACAAGCCAGTTACTACAGCTCAGGACAGCCTCCGGACAAAGGCCAGATTCTTGGTTCCCCACCCCCCACCTGAACCCACAGAACTGAAGTTGGAGACCTGCCCCAAGCACTCCCACCTACAGCCCTGCACCCTCCAAGCAGGCAGATGCCAGGGTCAGGGGGTGCCTCCTGGGAGCACTTGGGAGAAGAGGGGAACGCTTCTCCCAGGGACCCCTATATCTGCTGGGGACTCCTGGGCAGGAGGGTCTCAGGGCTACCCCATGGCGCATGTGAGGAAGTCCAGCCAGGTACCTACCCATCTCCCACCACCACACACTTGATGGCCTGCATGGTGTCTGGGGTCGGGAGCGGCGGTAACAGCTCACACAGGGGCAAGGAGTGCTTCTGTGGGCGCCAGGGGTGTGGAGAGCCTGGCAAGGCGCCCCGCCGAGAAGCAGAGGAGCAGCGGGACAGGAGGCAGGAGGAAGCGGAAGGGGAACTTACCCAAGCGGCTGCCCCTAGGGCCGTTTGCAGGAGGCGGAGCATGCGGTCTACCAGAACAGCCAGCGCCCCTCAGGTGCTGGGCCAGGGCACCAGCAAGAGACCTGAGGACTCTCTGGGCCGGAGACTCGCTTCCATGAGTCCAGAGGATGTTCCCTAAGAACTTGAGACTTGCAAGCATTCAGTTCACCTCAATGCTAAAAAATAAGCATTTAATGTGCCAGGCACTGTCTGGTGCTGGTGAGTCCAGGATGCAAGACATGCAGCCGGTCCCTGGGGAAGACATGACCACATTATGGGTGTCCGTAAAATAAAGTAGGAAGTGATGGGGCCACGGGGATCTGCAGGGAGGGGGCCTCAGAGTTACACAGGGAGACCAGGCTTCGAGGTGGCATTTGAGCCAGCACTTGAAAGGTGGTGTTGGAGAGATGGGCACTCCCAGAGAGGGGATTTAATGAGCATGATGTGGAGGCTCCCCCAGGTGGGGGCTGGTGTGGGACCCCGGAGTGTGGAGAGATGGGAGAGATGGGGGTGGGGAGGAAGCAGGAAGGGAGGTGGGGGCAGCTGATGGGGAAGGGGAAATAAAAGGGGAGGGCAGGGAGTGCCCCCCACGAGCCAGGCCCTGTGCTGGAGGCGGCCCCATGGGACCAGGCACCCTGAGTCTCGGAGCCCAGACCCATTTTCACAATGGGGAGACAAGGGAGTCTAACAAGTCAGCTGACTCCCTAGGATCACTCAGCCTGGAATCAAAACCAGGCCAGGTGACCCCAAGCTCTTCGGGCACCCAGCTGCTGTCTGCAGGGACAAACCTTGAGTTCTGCGGCTCAGAGGGGTCAGTGCTTCCTCTTGGCCTTGCCAGACTCAGGACGTGAGTGGCACTGGGTCCTCCCAATAGGCTCCACGTTCACCCAGTTCTTACTGTTTATCACCACTGCTCCCTTTCCAGATGCAAGGCAACGGGCAAGGGGAGGAATGGGCAGAGCTACTGGTCCCCCACCCTGGACTGTCACTCAGGACAAACTGGGGCACCCCAGGAGGGCGGCCTGCTCCAACACACGGCCAGTCTACCAGTCGGTAATTAAAACCAGCCAGCAAACACTGACGTCCTTCCTCTGTGCTTTGCATAAGCCGAGCTGAACTGGTGGGAAGCAGGTTATGGCGCCCAGATGGGTCAGGAAGACCAAGTGTTGCCCCCATACCCCGCCCTGGGTTCCCTGCCTCACAAGCCATCTAAGGATTTTATTCTGGGTACACCCCTGCAGCCACATTTGTTTCCTATCTACTGCTAGCCTGTAGGGCAACCTCTGTGTTATCTTAAAAAAAACACTAAATCCAATGTGGCATCCTGGAATGGATCCTGGAACAGAGAAAGAACATTAGTGAAAAAGTACTAAAATTCAAATCAAGTCTGAGATTGAGGTACCAGTATCGTACCAATGTTCATTTCTTAGTTTTGACAGACCTACTGTGGTTATGTAAATGATGTTACCATGAAGGGAAACTGGGGGAAGGATATGCATGAAATCTCCTACTGTCTTTGCAACTTTTTTGTAAATCTAAAATTATTCCAGAATAAAACTTAGGGCCCTCTGCCTCTCGCCTTCATCCAGCATGCACTGATTATACACCACCTGAATACCTAGGTCTGGGCTTGGTGCTGCAGCAGATACAAAACACAGAAGACTAGAACTCTGCCCCCAGAGAACTTGGGACTTGTACTGAGAGTGACAGAGGCACCCTGAAACCACTCTCGGGAGGCCTCCAATCTGCAGGTGTCCCTTGGGCTGTGTGTCAGGCCAGGGTTGGCAAGGGGACAGGATGGGGAGTGGCTGCCTGGACATCAGCCGGGCAGACGCAGGGCTGCAAGGATGGTAGCAATCACTGTGTGCTTCCAGCCCAGCAACGAGCCACCCTTCTCAGCACATGACTGCCAGCGTCTCTGTTGTTTCCCCTGCTTTACAGAAGAGGACACCAAGGCACCAAGGGGCTCACTCACTTATCCAGGATGGCACACTTGTAGCCACTGCACTGGAAGTGAATGGAGGTCTCCTTGTCCAATACCCTCATTTCACATGTGGGGAAACTGAGGCCCTAGTCCACATGACCAAGGCCAGGAGCAGCCCTGACCTTCTGGCCAGTCCTTTTCACCTTTTCTTTTTCTTTTTCTTTTTCTTCTTCTTTTTGGAAGTGTCTCTGTTGAGATACAGTTTACACACAATAAATGAATCCATTTAAAGTGTACAGTCCCTCCCGCTGACAGATGCTCCAAGAAACCACCACAACTGAGATCAGAGCACTCCCACCGCTGTGGGGGCTTCCTCAGTGCACTGCATCCCTCCATCCCCTCCCCACTACCACGCAGAAGCTCTGGGCTGCTTTCTGTCATCATAGATTACTCTGCATTTTCTAGAAGTTTACATCGATTTGTCACGCAGTACGTGGCCTTGTGCACAAGACCACTTTCACTCAGCGTGTTTCTGAGACACATCCATGCTGTTACCTATGCTGTGGCCCACACCCTTTCATTTTCAAGAGGAAAGAAAAAAATAAAGTACCTCTTCGGGAAGACACAGCCAATGAGTATGGCCACATGACTGGAAAGGGGTATATGTACTGGGGTTTATCCACCATTTGCCCCCACTAGGGTGGAGCGTCCTTATGCAATGAACAACCTGCCCAACCGTACCTGACATGTGTCACAGTGTGGATCTTCATCCAGTCCTATCCTCTTACCCACACTTTACAAACTCAGTGAATCACAGAACGTGGGGCCTTGGGGCAGGTGTAGAGGGACCATCAAGGCCATCTTTACCCAGACCTGCCCTTGCACCCCTGGTATCCAGGGCATGGTTCACTGCCTACGCAGCAGCCTGCCAGCCCCTGCTCACATACCTTCAATGACCGGGAAATCATTCCCCTAGATTGTCCCCACAGAAGTCCTAGTTCTTATTCTGAAGCCATTCAGGTCAGTCAACTCCCTCCCGGGGGAACCACAGGCCTTAGAATTCCGGAGGCACAACTTCCACCCACCAATGCTCTGGGAAGTGTTTAAGGGTGTAGCCTCATTTAGTTACCTTCCCTGGTGTAACATTCTGTGATATGAATGAATCAGAATGTATTTGTCCAATCTCCCCCTTTAATGAGCATGTTTCACACTTGCAGTGTATCCTTACAAATAGTCCTGCTATGAATACTCATGGCCTCCTGGAGCCTGTGTGTGAGATTTCCCTACAAGCAGGACCCCAGAGCTGCAGGACATTAACATCTTTCCCCTCAACAGTGAGAAGTCATTCTCAGGGGTCCCCCTTTGGTCCACACAGTCACCCCCACGTGGCCTAGGAAGGTTTTATGCTTTTGCCAACTCATGGCTGTGAATTGGCATCTCATGGTTTCCATTCACATTATCTCTGGTGGTGTGGAGCCTCTGTCAAATATTGATTGAAGATTCGTGCTTCCTGTCCCATAAATTCGCTCTTACTATCTCTTGTCCATTTCTCTATGCTCTTACATTTGTTTAGAGAAGTTCCTTGTATATTCTAATTTCCAAAGATTTCCAAGGATTTCCATCTTTCTTCCAGTCTTTGGGATGTCCTTTAATCAGTTTGTGACTTTTAATAAACAGAATTTTGGTCTGAATGTAGTCTGTTCAATTTCTTCCCTAATGACTTGTTCTTTAGGAGTGAGTCCTTTCCTTCTTCTAGTCTCATAAAGATGTTCCCCTCTATTTTCTTCTAAAGCTTTTAAAGTTTTGTTTTTCATATTCAGGTCTTCCCATACTTGGGATGGATTTTAGGATGTGGCATGATAGGGATTTAATTAACTTCACCATGTCTATCACCAGTCCACCCAGCACTGGTTACTAAGGAACAAAGCCTGTCCTTCTCCGCTGAGCCGCAGCCCAGCTGTCTCCTGGCAAGCGTGCGTCTGCCCCCAGTTTCTCTGTCTGCTGGTCTGTTTGTCCACCCTGGAGCCACCACAACACTGCCTTAATTACTGAAGTTCTATGTCAGCTCTTTTCATCCAGCAGGGCAGATTTTCCTCCCTTGAACTTTTTCAGAACAGTGGTAGTTACCACTCACCACTGGCTCTTCCATATGAATTTTCGAATAAGCTTATCAAGTTCCAAGAAAACTATGTCAGAATTCTAATTAGAATCCTGTTCAATTTGTAGAGGACTTGGGGGTGAACTGACATCTTTGTAATACTCAGTCATCCTACCCATTAACACGTTATATTTCTTCTTTATATATTTCAATAACGTTGCATAATTTCCCCCAGAAAGATCATGCACATTTTCTCATGAATTTTATTCCTTCATACCTTATTACTTTTGATGTTTTTGTACCTAACACTTCTTAAAATTTCGTTTTCTCTTTGCTGCTTCTATGTAGGGAAAATGCCAAACTTTGCGTAGTGGACTTAAATATATGGCAAACTGGATGGAAATTCTTTAAGTTTATTGAGAGATTTTTGCTACGAAAAAACTCTAAAACGGTCTTTGTAGATGATCTTCATTTGTAGAAAATGAGTTTTATATCTTCCTTCCCAATTTTTATAACATTAACCCCTTTGGTTGTCTGGAGCCTGTACCGCAGTGTGGATGCAATCAGGGATGGCAGGCATGTTTGCCTTGTTTCTGACTTTAAAATGCATGCTTCTAGTGTTTCACCATTGAACATGATGTAAGCTTTTGGCAGATATTATTATCAGCTAAAGACGTTTTTCTGCTATTCTTAGTAACAAGTTTTGTTTTGTTTTTATGGTGTGTTTAATCCTACTGAATTTTTTTTCTGTATCTATGGAGA